ACATTCGCGTGTCGAAGTCAAGAGTCGAGAATATCACACAGGAGCAAAATAAACATCTCACGTCCAATTGAGCAAAATATAAACAATGAAGGAAATCAAGTCCATCCCAATTAAATCATTCACCTTTTTTTCCAACACTTCCCTGATCCTCACCTTTATCCGCAACCCCCTCCCCCACCCTCCCCAAATGCCAAGAAATAACCGCGAATTCATATAAAAAACGGGAAAATAGATTAAAAATCCTGTAGCGTGACAGAAAACAGAATCTCATCTTCCATCTTCTTTTTTTCCCCGTCTTTATCCTAGTTCACAGGAATTACGTGACTTTCCTGTGAACTGGAGAGTGAAAGTGACCTGGCAGCAAGGACTTGTCGATGCTGCCTGCTAGCTCACCGGATGCAGTTTGATGTGATGTGAGTTCGGTGACCAAATTAAGGTACATAAAGATAAGGAAATAGATATATCAATGCTGAGTGTCTGTCTGTTTATCTCTCCGTCTCTCTGACAGTATTAGAGAGCTTCAGATCTCTTGCAGGTCGAGAATGCTCCTGGGAATACATTAATAATGAAACCAAAGCTTTCCGTCGGCAACGCTTTCCGCGAAAAAAAAAAATTCTCTCGGGAAAATCATCAATTTAGGTTTCTTTGCAGGGCGCCGAGGATATTCCTGAAATACTTTCAAAATAGTTAATACAGGGCTAAATTGCTGGTCGATCACATGCGACTTAAAAAAATGACGGCCCCTTTTTGGACAAATTTGATCAGAAACATCTTTCGAGTTCTCAAATCGTACCGACGCATCACAACGACGTACAGACATGACGTCAGAAAAGTGGGACGCCAGCTATTTTTGCGGACACTCACTAATGGGCTGAGGCAGACAGAGATAGACAGACAGAGAGAGAGAGAGAGAGAGAGAGAGAAATAGGGAGACGGAGAGGGAATGTAATGATAAAATAATAGCTTGCATCATGCAACACCGAAATCCGATTGTGCAAATACATTATGATGTGAATAAATAAAGAAACAAATATATAAAGTCAAAAGGAAAGACACTTTTAAAAACTGAACAAAAATTCGATATACCAGACACTTACACTTCCAACGCAAAAATCACATACTTATTAAAGCGCATGAAAATAACAACACACGATAATTTTCTTTTCAACGTTTAAAAAGCTTGCTGAGGGTGAGCTCGCCAAGGTAATGAGTGCGTTCTGTGGGGCGCACGCAAAAGACTGACAAATGAGGGAGGAAGCAAAGCACAAACACGAGGTCACACCAGGTAAAAGACGGTCATGGGAACGTGCATGTTAAACCATTATCTCCTGCGTGGAAGGGTTGGGTAATGAAGAAAAGGGGGGAGAAAAAAGAAAGCATATCGGTCCTCTCCTTGGCAACTTTCTGCCCCCGCGTTACTTTCCCGAAATAATAAAAGCCATATCCGTGGTTGTCGCGCAAGACTTTCACCGCTTGACGATTTCTTACAGGAACGAACCAGTAAGAAGTGGTTCCCTTCACCCAGCCACGTCTTCCCCCCCCCCCCCTTTCACCCTCACCTCCCCCGTGTGTGCCTCACCTGCGCCTCCGCCACCGTCTCGGGAGCCTCGAAGATGTTGCACGCCGTTGTAATGGCCTTTGCAACCCTTTTGCAACACGCACACCCGCCGCTCCGCTGTGATCTCAACGTGGACCTCAGGATCTCCGTGTTGCTCCGTGTCCTGCAGCATGAGCCTGGTGTGGACACTGGCCTTGAACGTCAGCTGGTGAGTCAACCCTCCGGTCCAGAGTGCTCGGACTGACGCACAGAGGGCTGACCGGGGTGAGGAGAGGGGGGGGCGGGGGTAGGTAGGGGAGAAGGTGAAGAGAGAGAGAGAGAGGTTCCTGCTGCAGTATGTGCGTGGTGTTTGGGCAGCAGGGCGGGGGCAGGGGAGGCGGGGGGGGGGGGGGGGGGGGGGAGGAAGACGCAGCGTCCGATATGCATTACTGTCATACTGAGCATTCTTTTCGTGATCCACGGGGTGTGCATTCCCGGAGAGGAAACAGAGACTCATAACTGAGGAAATGGGCACATACACACAGGAGAGAAGAGGGCACGGGGGGGGGGGGGGGAGAAGAGAGCAGAGGAAGGGGGAGAAGAGGGCAAGGGAGAGGGAGGAGAGGGAGAAGAGGGCAAGGGAGAAGGAGGAGAGGGAGAAGAAGGCAAAGAAGAGGGAAGAGAGGGAGAAGAGGGCAGGGGGATAGGGAGAAGAGGGCAAGGGATAGGACAGGAGAGGGGGAGAAGAGGGCAGGGGGAGAGGGAGAAGGGCAGGGGAAAAGGGAGAAGAAGGCAGAGGGAGGCGGAGAAGAGGGTAGGGGGAGAGGGAGAAGAGGGGAGAGGCCAGGGGGGGAGAAGAAGGGGGGAAAGGGGGAGGACGGCAAGAGAACCGGGATATCCTAGCTGGGCGAACTCGGCAAAGTGAACCTGCATGTGGTACGTGTGGGCAGCTTCGTACACCAT